GAAATATCGTTGCGTACAGCGTTGCCACTAGTTGTAATAAATATCTAACACTATACAGAAAATAATGAATTTTAACTGATCAGTAATCAGGAAATGTATAAGTATTACTCATTACAAGCTCATTACTGATTTTTGTCATAAATAATACCTTTTAATCGTACTAGTATTGTGTATTATCTATAATTTGCCACAACCTACAACTCTACTGCTTACTATATTTTGATTCTGCTATAAACTGGTAACGTAAAATTTAGATATGACAACGCGCTTTACTCTCAATCATTATTGGTTTTACTATAGGCTTTTCAGTGTTCGACCACAGTATTCGATTTAGGTCAAAAACCCCTACACATTTTTTGTCGTTATCAGAAAATACTATTGTCAAATAATCTAAAAATATTGCATTAGTCTTCAGGCTGCAGAAAAGGCTAGATCCGCTAGAGGGCCGCATAGAAATAGAAAAGGCTGGCGGAACGCATGCGGCACGCGAGCCACATGTTGAGTATCGCTGCATTACAGGTACCAATGCAACGTGCATTGGACGACCTCGATCCCGATTTCTCGACCCATGGAACATGAGAGGAGAGCCGTGTTATCTGCGTAGAGAGACACCTACACACGCTCGGACCTCGGAAGGTTCCTGGTGTAGAGCGAGTACTACGTGGGAAAGAGCACAGCTCCCTGTGGCACTCCAGCAAGGATACACTTATTGTCAGACAGGGAGCCCTCTATTCCAACCTGAAATGTTCTGTCTTTCAGGAAAACCCTATTTGTGTAGAAGACTATGCCATACACGGTCGAAGGGCTCCGAAATGTCTGAAAGGGCAACGTGAACTTTACGGTCGCTGTTTAGCTCTTCAATGGTGTTTTCGACCAGTCTCAGAGCCTGTAACTCAGTGTTCGATCTACCAGTTGAAGAGTTCTGCACATAAAGCTTTTGAAACAATGCAGAAAATGGAAGAAGGGGCAAAAAATTCATCGACAACCCAACTTATGTCCAGAAGAATATGACAAACGTCCAGCAAGAGACCTGTAGAGACAAGATTATTGGAATGGGTGTCATTACAAGATAGGGGAAAACACAATAAGCTCATGAGGCAGCAGTGCTTTCTGGGGATTTGAAAGAAATGAACAGAAAGCGAAAACAAATTTTTTCATATACCTACAATCAAAGAAGGTTTCGGATATTTCTCCCAAATGTATTTATTTTGATTTAATTTTTTTTTGTAATATATTGTTCATATTTTATATTTTTCAAATGGTCAGTGACTTCACATTAATACTTTTTAAATTTTACAAATTTTAATCTTCAGTAAAGTTTATTATTTTTGTATTGCATTTTTCAATATTAAAAAAATTATCCTATTCCAAAAGATAAGATATCCGCACTAAACGATTCACATTAAACAAGGAATTACATACATGAAATCATTCAATAGACCACGTTTACACAGCATCTTGAAGGTGGATGTCTAAGAACCCAGGAAATTCTCCTTCGATGCCGTATAAACATAGTCTATCAAAATACCTTGAACGATCTTATGTTTGTTATAACGTGGTTACTGATAATCTTAGATAATGTCTCAGTATTCTGACTCACCAAGTCTAATTCATCTAGCGATTCTAATTTTGCGATTGGAGCTATTTTTTCTTCTTTGCATTCCTTTTCCTTTGCTATTAGACACTCCGCCCAAGATGGTTCTTGACTTTTGTCAAAATCAAAAGCTTTATTAAACGATGCAAACCTAGAAAAGTGAAACATTGAAGATTTCGTGATATTTGTAGAAGGTTCACATGCAAAATTAAATTTCGTCTTTACCTATGAAGAACTTGGGAATGATGATTTTTTGATATTGGTTTTGGCTCACTAACTGATCTCTGAAATGTATATCTACTTCTACTTGGGTCTATGGCTACATTTTCATATTCAGGCATCTGGAAGAGGAAAAGTAAGCTGTAGTTAGCAGACGTTTCTAGCAGCATCTGTTTGTATACCTAATAATTCACCTAGCATGCATCTACATTTGAATAAAATTATCTACTTTTTAAGAATAATAAAAAACTTATTGATTCAACTATGAATTTATGGAAGTAATGTATATTTCTATTACGAAAGTATGTATGAAAGTTTTACATTGAGATCACACTTGGCAAATCCAACTGAAAACGAAAATATATTTTTTTGAACATTAATTGTACAAAATATTACTGGACTTCTTTTTCCAACGCTAAACCGTTATTTTAACACCTCGACACGTGTTTCGATCACCAAGTGATCATCTTCAAGAGGAGTTTGATCTTCCTCTTGAAGATGATCACTTGGTGATCGAAACACGTGTTAAAATAACGGTTTGGTGTTGGGAAAAAACTTCAGTAATTTTCATCACTACACCAAAGGTTCCAAACAGTGTATCACAAGTAATTAATAGTACAAAGCCTATAGTTTTTCGGAAAAATATTCGGCAATTCAGGTTCAATTCATTTGATGGATTTTGATTTGAGAAAGATATCTCCATAAAACGTGATTCGGAAGGAAGAAGTCCGAAATCGGGAGTATTGAGGAAAGTCTAATCACTTTTGAACGTGTTTGCCGAAAAAAAAGTTCAGGGATGATTTGTAACACTTCTCCACTCTTTAACAAGAGGCTCAAGAGAGAGAGATTGCTATAAAAAATAGCAATAACTTTACATCCGTTGATTGAAATGAGGTATCAAGTAATTTGGATACTAATATCGCTTTCAATACTTTTATAGATGTTTCTATGCATCCAACTTTGATTTTAACGCGGCGAAACGACACATAAACAAATCTGAGAATGAGTGAATCAATCGCAAAGTGCAGCAGTCTTGATGATTTGATTTTGTTTTCTAGATCGTTCCCAGAAATGCGTAAATATTACAAACTATAGAAATTACTATGAAAAAACTATTATGGGAATATCATTTCATATTCTGATATTCCAACAAAAATGGCTGAAGAATTATGTCTGGTTTTACTAAAAATAAAGACTAAAGAGATAACATAACATTATTATATAACGATAAAAATACAATTGAAAATTCCTTACACGTGATAAATGCTTCCAATTAATTTTTCTCGTATTTCTGGCGTTACCGGTAGAAATGAAAAGAGTGTGAATTTTACTTTGAGTGACCTATAATTATGCTCTTTTCCAACACTGAGAACTATTGTCCATAGTATGTTCGAATAAAGTTCTTTTCATGAAATATGTAGTCGACAAAATGACACGAAAACTAAATATTATTATTCTGCGTCTGGCATCCTATCATTGTAAGTTTGATATCAAGAAAAGGATTTCGTTGCAAGACGAAAGGCGACATTTGAAATAAAAGATGCTTAAAACTAGTGAAAGACGTGAGTATTCACTAGGTACAGTTTATTATGGCAAACAATTTAGACATTTTAATCGTAGACAATAAAACTACCTTCGATAATAAACGACGTAGGGAAACTGATAGCTTAACATTAGGTCCAATATGTAGGTATATGTAGGTATGAGAAAAGTTGTTCACATAATTGGTATATAAACTTCAAAATCGTTGGGTCCCATATCTGGATTATATTTTCTCAAAACCCCCGTAAAAAGAAATTGAGAAGTCTATATTGTTGACCTGGAAACTTATTTAGACCGGATTTTACAGACTTAGAGTTAGCAGCAGACTGATTCCTGAGAGCTACTATGTCTACGTACAATGAACATTTTTCCTGGTGGAATGAAGATTTGGCACAGATGCCACAACAAACTGAAAAAAAACCCGAAAGCGCAAGGAAATCAGGTATCTGGAATTGATACAGAAAGTCCCTAAATTAATACAACAAAGCTCTGAGGAAATCTAAGAGGAACTCATGGAGAAGACAATGCAAGGAGGTCGAACAGACCCAAGTATGTGCCAAACTCTCTAAGATACTTTCTAAGGGACCTGAGTTATCAATAAATAATCCTAAAACAAATACCGGGGAGTACACATCAAAAGAAGGAGTGAATATCAGAGAGCTTCTCAGGGTGCAGTTCCCCAGGTCAGAAATTACAAACCTAACACTGCAAAGCTGGCAGATTCAGAATTGGAGGCTTCTCGATGAGGGCGCCTTTGCTGGTGACAAAGAAAGTAGTATATTCAAAGAAAATTAATGAACCATGAATTCATTTCAACATCAAGTCGTCGGGACCAGATTACATTCACCCAGTAATTCTGCAAGTACAAATTTGTGTACAATCTTCAGAGCAACTTTGGCTGTGGGAAATATGTATACCAAAAACTGATTAGGTCAACCTTCATTCCAAAACCTGGAAAATAGGACTTGATTAGGCGAAGGCTCTGATAGCAATCATTCTCATGACATTGAAGACAGTAGAAAAACTACTTAACAGGTAGATTGAGAACATATCATTGGCTACCAAACCACAGCATTGAGACCAATATGCCTTTAGGGCTTTATGCCAGGTCACAGAAAAATATGTTTACAAGAACAAAAAACTGCTTCTAGCTACTTTAATGGATATAGGAAGCGAATTTGATAATACATCTCTAGAATCGATCATTCAGGAGCCAAGAAGAAGAGGGATCGACAAGCATTATAGCAGAGACAGTAGTGGCATGGGTATCATGGTGTTGTCCTCGGGGGAAGGGAAATTATTCTCACTGTTATGAAACCTTGTAATGGACGAGTTACTACGTCTTTTGGACCATAATGGACGCAAAGTACTGGGTTTTGCAGAAGTCCAGGGCTAATATAATAATATAGCGAAGGAACGCATGCGGCAAACCCTGATTATCGTAACTGAATGAACAGATGAAGAAGGGATGAACATGAAAAAGCCCACCATAATATCACTCATCAAGAGGGGCAAAATAGATGACCTAGGACCTCTGAAACTTCAAGGTGAAGAGATAAATCTGTCGGAGCAGGTCAAATATCTGGAAGTGATACTAGATACCCGGTTGACCTGGAACCAACATCTAGAAGGAGTTGAAAAAAAGGCGGAGGTAACACGCTGACCAGACGAATCTACGGAAAAAAATGGGGGCTTGAACCAGACATGATGTATTGGCTCTACAACATGGTGGTTGAACCCATGATAACATATACATCTATGGTCTGGTGGTTGAAGATGAAACAAACAACCACTATCTACAAACTGAGCAGGGTGCAATGCCTTGTATGTTTGAATCAATTTTCCTTCTTTGCATCTAGTAATAATGAAGAAAGCAAGTTTGCGCCAATTCACACTGGAAAACTAACAGATTCACATGGGATCGGGCAGTACAGGAATTTTGGAACATGGAATCGGGCAGAACAGGAATTTTGGAATATGTGGAGAACCAAACTCAACCATGTTCTCGAACCACATGACACCGAATTTCATGTTCAACACACGGTTGAACCCTCAAACTTTTTGCTCCAGTATATAAGATCAGTTTTGATTGAAACACAACAAATCATATTGTATCACACCTAGGCCGAATGACGCCTAAAGATAGAAAATAAGTTTTGAATATTAATTCAAAAAATTAACAATAAAAAGAATGATGACAGTTTAAGTCTGATACATCGGTTAAGGCTTTCGCGGCCGAAGTTTTCATTCGGATTTGAAGAAAGCCGTCGTAGTTTGGAACAGCATCCTAAGGTTTCGCCACGAGTGGCTGGCTTTTTCAAAGGTTTATTCATCGGTGAATCATCAAGACGAATAAACCTCTGAAGAAGCCAGCTACTCGTACTGGCGAAACGTTAGGATGCAGATCCAAACTACGAAGGCCTTTGAACCCGAATGAAGATAGTAACTCTGAGTTTAAGTCTACTCTCATGTAAGAACGAATCTCTTTCAATAAAGTACTAGTGCGAACATAAAAAAGATGCTCGACTATAAATGGCTTCCAGAAATTATTGAAGGACCTTTTATAGTCACATTGTTTTTAATCATTAATCATCTTGAAGGAACAATTTGACAACTTTCAATTGTTTGACTCATGCTTTCTGTTTCAGTTATGTTATTTAGTCGTATTATCTATGCATGAAGAATTATTATCATTACCATCATCAAATAGCGTCATTGTCTATCACCTAGAGTGAATGAAAAAATGTTTACTATGACTTGAAAATACTCCGTTCATAGATTTATAAAATGAGCTTGCTTCATTCCAGACTCACCCGATCTCTTTAATTCTATATAATAAATTCTAAAAAATGTAAAAAAAAAATTAGAAAACTAAATAATATTCTAACAACAATTTACTAGATGATACTTTGTAGGATAGACTCACGATGCACAATTATACTGTTTTGTAATTACCTCTTGTTTAATGGTAGAAATCTCGCTGCCAGACGGTTGTTGTGCTTGTAACAGCGCTAGAATCATTTTAACGTCTGTAGTGAGTGTCGTCTCTAAAGATTGAACCCTTTTCGAGAGTTGATCCAGCTTGGAGTTGATATGATCGAGATGACTCCTACTTATTACTAAATTTTCCGAATGTGAATCTAGAGTGGAATGTTGCAAGTGTACATGGTTCGTTGTGGCCTCCAGTGGCACCTGAAATTTGATAGTATTAAAGATAGATAGATATTCGATATGATTTACACATCAATCAATGAAAATAAGTTGATACTCAATTAGATCCGTCTAGCTCCCATTTTATTTGACTATTTTCAGTTACTTTAGCCCCCTTTTTAGTTGTCACTGGATTCATCCAGTGACCAGTTCCAAATGATTAATTTTACCTGAATTAACGGAACCCATGGAACTCAGCAAACTTAGTCTCATCTATGCAGGGGGTTCCATGTATATGGAGGGGATATACTCTTCGAGCAGCTCCTCGTTAATAATGATGGACTAAGAGACCAAAGTCAACCAGCAAAGTGAAATACAATTGGCGGGTGAAGATATTTCTATCGAAACTGTAATTGTATAATTGGCAAATGTCGGAACTCTACACAAAAGACTGTCAGGAGCACAGAAATGCAAACTGAAGAGAGTGAGCATAGTTGCTGAGGGGACTTGGATTGATGGATCAATAAGAGGTCCCAGCGAAGACTCCTTGATACTTTCCATTTGTAGAAGGGACCGAAAGAGATCCAGATACGATCCGAAAACTCACTCACAGAGGAAATGAAAAACCCAGGAGCTCCCATAAATAAACTGTATCGTACATTGAGACTGTCAGTGGGCATAGGGTGTCCACCCAGAGATCACTCTGAAGCAATAACAGACTGACCTGGCTCAGAAGAAACTGGGCTATGAGTTGAACAATGCTCCCTCAGGCAACCACGCCAACCATCGAAACTTTCGAAAGAACTTCATTCAGTTCAGCGATAAGCTGTGCCAATAAAGAAACAAAACAAAGAACCAAGGAAATCGTCGGCGCCCTGATGCAACCTAGGGAATGTTTTAATCGAGGGCAAATAACTTCCGAGGAGATCAAGAGCTCTGATCTTCATACCTGTCTAAAAAAAGAGCAAGGAAAAAAATGATACTCCTCAGCAAACAGGAAAAAAAAACTGAAGGTTGAATCCTGCCCATTTACATAGAAGAAACCTAGCGAGGGAGATCCTGAAAATATCAGTATTAGATTAGCTCATCACCCAACCTTGGTGAGGGGTGGACTTGATCGTGATCGAGGCCAAAAAACTCCCGAGGAGATCTAGAGCTCTGTTCTTCATACCGGCCTGAAAAAAGAGCATGACAAAAATAATACTTCTCAGCAAGCAAAAAAAAAAGAAACTCAAGGTCAGATTCTGCCCATTTACATAGAAGAAAGTCAGCGAGAGAGAACCTGAGGATATCAATATCGGATTTGCTTATCACTGAACCTTGCTGAGGGGTGGATTTGACCGTGATCGAGGCCAAATAACTTTCGAGGCTGGGTCATCACCCGAAGACGATTGTGGATACCAACAATCGAAACGTCGTGAAGTAACTTGACTTGAAATCTTTGAATTTTTAATTTTAATTTCTTGTTAATCGTTTAATTTTCACATGTTGCTTGTATTGCATTTCAATTTAAGTTTTTTTGCTCAATATAATTGTTATTTTTTAGCTAATCTTTTTAATTTTATTGATTCATTCAGGGATTTCAAATCAATTTATATCATACTAGTTGTTGCCCGCGGCTTCGCCCGCGTAGAACTTGGTAGTTGTAGTACTAATTAGTACTATGTTGCTGTATCGCTGCTGTTCCAATGTTTTGACAGAATCAGAATCAACGAACTTAGGCGTGCGCAGAGTTATAGAACAGTGCTTTCAAAAAATTGTTCTACAGCGCAATCTAGTGGCGAGTTACAGAAAATTGATAGCCTAAAAACCTTCCCTATGAAAAATTACTTGTACATGTCAAGTTTAATCACGATCTGTTAAGCGATGTAGAAGTTTATCACTTACCAACCAACCAACAAACATACATTTTTATACACTGTGTCCGTAAAGTATGGAACAAATTCATTTTTAGCTAAACAGGTCATTTTAAGAAATAATCCTGAAACACGTCGATTTTTGATGTTAATTTACCGTATTTTAAAATAATAATCTAATATACAGGGTGAATTACGATCGAGTAATGACGTCACTGTCATTTTTTTTAAATGGAGCACCCCCATTTTGTCTCAATTTTCGGATTACTCTAGCTGAGCTGATTCCAAAAATGTATCACATGTTGATTCCAATTGGTACAGGGTGGACAACAATACAGTAGTTGTTTGTGTGCTAATAAAGTAACGCGTAACATTCTTTATTAAGTAAATTAACAATATTATCAAAAATACTTATTGTCTAGCGGACAGAATATGCTGGAATACATGACTTTATATTAAATGTTCGAACTGCAGCCCTTGCTGTATTTGACANCCTAATAAAGAATGTTACGCGTTACTTTATTAGCACACACACAACTACTGTATTTTTGTCCACCCTGTACCAATTGGAATCAACATGTGATACATTTTTGGAATTAGCTCAGCTAGAGTAATCTGAAAATGGAGACAAAATGGGGGTGTTCCATTAAAAAAAAATGACGGTGACGTCATTACTCGAACGTAATTCACCCTGTATATTAGATTATTATTTTAAAATACGGTAAATTAACATCAAAAATCGACGTGTTTCAGGATTATTTCTTAAAATGACCTGTTTAGCTAAAAATGAATTTGTTCCATACTTTACGGCACAGTGTATATTAGAAGATAGACAATGGAAGTGCACCACCTTCAAACAAACCTAGAATATGCTTACAAGAACAAGAAGGTAAAAAAATAATGAAATGAAAAAAACAAGGAGGTTCTTTTATCTGCTTTCTCAGATATTGAGGGTGAATACCATCAAAATCGACCATAGTAGTATTCACGAAGAAGACGAAGACAGAGTGCCTACCTTTAAAACTTCGAGGTGAATAGATACATCGTCGGAGGAGGTCAAATGTCAGGAAGTGATATTAGACCTCTGGTTAAAAGGGTAGCACTGATGGGGGTCAAACGCACTTAGGGAAAGATTTGAGGACTGAAATCAGACATGATTAACTGACTCTACACATTTTGGTTGAGCTCATGATAACACATGTATCTATGAGCTGCTGACCAAAGCAGGTTGCAAAAACTTGCTTGTTTGGGAATAACGACATCAATGAAAACTACAGAAAAAAAGTTTAACCGGAGACACTCTTGAATCTTCCACATTTACATTTTGTAATAATGGAACAGATGGGCGCGGGTCAATTCAGACTGGAAAATTCACGGGATCGGGCAAAATATTTCGGCATATGTGGAATAACTAACACCTGAATTGCTCTTGGACCACATGACTCAGAAACACATACGAGTAATACAATCTCCCCGGCTATAATTACACACTGCAAAGGGTGTGAAATAAATAGTTCTTCCGAAAACATGCTCAGTAGAAACAGCTGGCATACAGATGGGTTGAAAATCGAACATGGAGCATGATCTGGAATTTATTGTGCCAGGAGAAATCAACATATCAGTTAACCGCTCGGTATAAATTAGTTTTTCAGGCTGAAGTGTACGAAGTTTTGCGATGTGCATCAAACGTCAGTTTGAGACCTCAACGATATCAATGTCTTCGCAGACAGAAATACTGCACTTGGAGCTGTAACCAACCCAAAAGCGACACTGAGACTGGTCTGAGAACTGAGGAAACTGGCGGACGGTAATAAAGTGACTCTATATTGGGTGCCAGCACACCCAAGTATCATAGGCAATGAAACAGCTGATGAGTGTTTTAGACACGGATCATCTTGATGATTGATAGGCCCTGAACCAGCCGTGGGGTACCAAAATCGAGAGTGGGTAGTGATTTAATTAGAAATACTAACAGTACTGGGGCAATGCATTCGGAAACCAAAAACCTTTATAAAATGACCTGAGAAGAGATTGAAATAACTGCTTCAACGAAGCAGGGACTGTAGACCTTAGAAGTAGCTTGTCATATTTCATGTGAATGTAAGGCACTATATTGCAGGATCAAGTGAGCTATGGACAATCTACATTATGAACAGAAGGATGCAGTAAATATCAAACAATGGACATGTATATACAACATCAGAATGTTGTAATAGGTGGAAGGTCATCTTCGTTTCATTCAGGATTGGAGTGCAGCTCCCTTACCCTTTTGGCTGATTTTTGATCTCGATGGGTTCATGACTGAGGGGATGGCGGTATGAAGTCCTCAGATATCAGTACCGCCCTTTACGGGATACCCCTACCTGGTTGGGGTGGGATGGATGAAAAAGCTATTCGTCCGTTAACAGGGGACATGAGGGCCTCATTCGACAGAGTGTCAGGGCCTTCTATATCGGGAGGGGTCGTCTACAGCATAATCTGTAGCTTCCCTAACTAACGGGTTATCGTGAGTTTCCGTACCTTCAAAAACTCGCCGATTCCTCGACTGAATGGACTGCCGAATGGAAGGCAGCTGCAAATCTCTGCGGATGGCTTCGTTCCGCACGAACCAAGGAGCATTCACAATCATCCTAATTAACTTATTTTGTAATCTTTCCAAGATGGAAATGTTGGACGGAGCCGCTTTTCCCCAGACGCCTGAAGCATACATGATGACAGGCTTGAACATCGTATTGTAGATGGTAATTTTGTTTTTCGTGTTCAATTTGGATTTTTTGTTGACCAGAGGGTACAGACTAGCTATCCGACCCTCGGTCTTTGATTTTGTAATAGGTGCCATATACGAGATGGGGGAAGAGACGCAATGAACTCATAAGGCTGCAGTACTGAAGATTTGGAAGAAATTCACAACCCAGGCGGCTTCCGTGAACGAATACTTAGAATTAAAAATACAGAGGAAAAAAGCATGATTGAAACAAAGGGTGGATATGGAGAGATTAATCCCCTTGTAATGGTAGCGACCCTCCCTAGTTATTTCGTGAGGATCAAGGAGACGAATTATCTACCGAATTGGTGGATACCATTTTACTTTCAATTAATTTTTGAAGAAACACAAAATAATAACAATCAATTGTTTTAAAATTCGAGGCTATGAATTTTATTTCAGATGAAATAAAATTATTGCCTGGAATCCATTTTTTGTGGAGACTAGTTTACTCTATCGATGTTAGTCTTAGGTTGGAATTTTTTCTTGTTGATGACGATAATTTATCGGCTATCTAGTGACGCACACTGATTTTTTTAGAAACTTACCAGTATCTCCTCGGCATGATTCCCTGTATCAGTACCGTGTGGTGGACTAGGGCTATTAGTATAATAGCTGGTACTGCTGGAAAGGGGCACTGTACTGTGCTGAGGTTGATGAGAAACAGAGTGATGGTGTGCCTGCGTTGCTGCAACGGCGGTCTGTTCTTGGTGGTAGGCGCCAGTTGAAGACTGTCGTCGAATGGTGCGTGTTCGGTGACTGGAGGGAGGTGTCGATTGTGCTGTAAAATAATGCATTTTCGTTAAAGATTTTGAGCGCTGTCACTTAGTATACTACTCTTGAATTTGGTGGTATGACAAATGTGCGTAATGGCAGTAAATTGTTTTTGATAGGTACTGTTGAAGGTGTTGTGAATAACACTTGATCAATTGGTTTATCAGAGTGATAAACCAATTGATTTATTTTAACGTCAAAAATCTACTGTAACTTATCTACTGTAAAATTATGAGTTTGGAAACTATAAAGATGTTTCCCAATCGTGTAAAGAATCCGTTTTAAACTTTTTCGAATCTATTCTCCAACTGAACCCAAAACTCGAAACATATGAATTATCGATGAGATGTGTATTGGTTCACTTCATAATTCGTTTTTAAAACAGGTACTGATAAACTGATACTGACGTGCAGTCTTTAGAGTTCTTTCCTGAATTCTTCACTATTTATTGATCTGTGAGGTTTGAGCTATTTCAGGATGAGGTATTCTTAAAGACGATAGATACTGAAGACCATTATATAGGGTCTTTCATAAAGCGCTTCCTGTCTTTAAATTTAGATAAAACAAAGTGTTTGTGAGATATCATCGGAATTTTTTATTTGTTTGAGAGACCTATTGATGTGTGGAATATAACATCGTTATATCACCCTCAAATCACTCTTGCGGAATATCCCAATATGGCATGAGCTGTGTGGCACGTAGCGCTGTTTTGTTGAACCCACATGTCGTTGGTGTTCAGATCATCCAACTCAGGCCAAGAGAAGTTGGTAATTATCGACCTATAGTGCTCGCTGTTCACAGTGTTGGCCTGGACAACGTCGTTCTCAAAGAAAAATGGACCGATGACGCCCCCAGCTCAAAATCCACACCACACAGTGACTTTTACGGGATACATTGGGCGGTCTTGGATCTCATGTGGATTGGTATCGTCCCAAATTCGACAATTTTGTTTGTTCACGTACCCATGGTGAGTACATTGGCTTGGGATGTGGGGGTTGGGCAAACCGGCCATCGGATGCCTGCTTCCACGTAGCCCCGCTGGATACGGAAATGACAGAATCACTTGCGGTTCTGTTATTCCCTAACTGAATCGCATCCCAACGGTGGCTTAATCCTAAGGTGTGTGTATCCGTACCGAGAGGATGAATGACACTAAGCCTATCAGCTGTCTCTACGGGAACCTTCGAGATATCGGGCGCCCTCTCGTCGTAGCATCGCCTTGTCACGGTAATGCGGGACTCTGCCGTGATTGAAATTCTTTCCCTAGTTACTCGTGGGACTTTTATGGATAGAGTAAACTTAAAAATTCTTTCTGACGCTGAGTCTACAGAGGAGATGGATGTCGAGCTTACGATTCCAACTGACCTCCCTGTAAATTTAGATCCGGAGCGAGTCTACAGAGGAGATGAATGTCGAGCTTATGACTCCAACTGACCTCTCAGTGTAGGGCGAAAAAGCCCTACACGGTTGAATCTAAGGCATCGTCAGGTGTAGCTGACGTGCAAAAACCCTCATTTGGGAAGGTTGTCGCGAGTATCAAGGTGGGAATCTAGCACTCTGACTATCCGACTACCTCATCAACGATGAAACAGCAGAGCATATACTTTGTGCCTGCCCCGCTGGGGACCGAATCAGGTTTTTAGAGTTCGGCAGAGCCGTACTCTTACCATCTGACCTGAAAAACCACTCACCATCATCGACTTTGTTGAGATTCTGGGTTTATTTGGTCGAGTGTGGATAGGTTTGAGCCACAATAAACCCTTGCGGGTTGCGGTGGAGGGTCGAATAGACCCACTCACTTTCCACCTAACCTAATCTAACCCATTCATACAGAAATGGACCTCATCGCTGAAGATGATTTTTCGATGATGATGTCAGTTGCCAACTGCTTTATAATTGTCTTTGGTCATTTACCTTCAGTTCCTGGGTCAGTTGAATTTTGGACGGGCGTAGGCCAAGTCATGACGCAAAATTCGCCAAGTTGTTATCTGAGAAAGACATAGTTCTTGTGAGCGACGCGAAATCGACTGCGTCGGATTCTCCTGCACTCTCTCAGAGACAGCGACGATGTTTTCGACTGATCTTGCGTTTCGTCGACGTACGGGTATTGGTCGATTGTTTACGGAACCTGTAGACTCAAATTTATCCACCACATTGCGAATAGTCCTCTCGGTAGGACGATTGTGGTGACAGTGAAAATGGCGAAGCGCGCGGTACGTTGTTCGAACAGAACACTAATTTTGATAAAACAATTTCGTTATTTCCACATGTTATTGACTGCTATAGCAAAACAGACTGAATAAATGACAATCAATTTGATACATGTAGCTTCAACGAAATGGCCGTTAGCAATTGTCAAAGTTCGAAAGTCCCTGCTGGAAGACCCTACATCGAACAGCGTTCACGTTCGCATAACCGGTGAGCAAGGAATGATTAAAACATTTTCCTAGCACCAAAAAGTTTTGCATACAATTTCCAATAACTTCCACCCACAAATGAAGAACACAAGAAAGTAAAGTGTAGTTAAAGTAATTCAATTTAAGTCAACAAACAATTATTGCAAATGCCGTGCAACTATGAGTTCATTTACTAAAATACTACCGAAAAATGTTGGCTGGAACGTTTGAAAGACACAATTAGTGGACCTATCATGCTCGACAGAACCCATGCTCCTAATTATGATACCGTTAGTTACATATACATACATTATTGGCAGAATGTAACAAAAAGTGCTGTAAGGTTTTGGTGGAAGAACCATATTAACTCTAAAATAGTGAAAAGCAACCAAGAGTTTTCGCTATGCAATATAATCTAGAGACGGATTGGGTTGCTTTTCAAGAAGAAAGCTTTCTCGATTGCGATACCCTGTAGATGGAACATTAGTAATCAACCAAATTCAATGCGAACCAAGACCATCTACAGAGAGTTCGCTACTAACACTACTTTACCCTCTAGGACTTTAAGGTATACACCTAAGAAGAGATGGGCGTTTGAGAGTAAACTAGAGAGAAAAGTGGTGCCAGTTTTTCGAAACAAAAATTCACGTAAAACTTACCTATCAGTGGCTGGTGTGTTTTGTGTAACCTTAGATCAGGAATACTTCGTTTGAGATGAGATAGCATGCCTAAACACATACGATATTATTTAATTTAATAGCACAGATTTTATATACATCAACCTACAGTGAATATTGACTTCGACCAACAATTGTTTAGGAAGGATTTCAAAATTTCATCAGACTCGGAAATGACTGAACGAGTTTCAGAAATAAAAATACAGTGCAGTTTTTTCATAAAATTTCCTGAAGAAGTTATTCAATATATGATGGAATTGGCTGATACTTGATGAAAATCCATAACTAACGTAGGTATTCAAAACACTTTATTGTGAGAGGAGTTGTTCAATTTTAATTACACGAATTTCTGAATCTATGGATTTCTAAACATTCTAGAAGATTGAGTTTCAAACACTTCTCTTCTAAATGTAACACATCGTATTCATGATTAAACTCATGTCCTTCTGCTAAAAGGTGGTTTGCAAATGTGGAATTGGTCTTTCTATTCATCAAACTACTTCTATGCTCTTTAATTCTTTGGAAAAATGTTCTCCCTGTTTCGCCAATATACATTCTTGGGCAAGAGTCAGCTTATATACTATAGAGTATTATTCGTTCTGTAAGCTGTAGACCTGGTCCATGACTTGCTATTGTAGTTTTTTGGAAAGGATGGAATCTATAATATTTACCTTATAACCGTTGTTAACCGCGATTTGTTTGATCAAACTCAGCTCTCGATGGAAATTACTCTTAGACAGTGGAATATTCAATAGTCTGTGAAGCATACTATTGAATGCAGCAACTATATGCTGGTAAGGGTGTGTGGAGGAATTATGTATTATAATGTCCGTGTAAGATGGTTGGTGGAAAATCGCAAATTCATGTTCATTGTTATTTTTCGTAATGGTTAAGTCAAGTTAATTTATTGAATTATTTATTTCCCTCTCAGTGGTGAATTTTATTGACGGGTGGATGGAATTATTATATTCAATGGACTTACCTGATTGCCTATCTATACCAGTACAAGAAACTGTTAGTCAACTGAATATTATGGATTTCATACTCTATGTTATCAATAAAATTTTCATTGATAACATACGAGTATGGGTTCCCCATTATCAGTCCTTCACTGCATAAATAGAATTTTTCGTCAAACTGGAAATAATTTTGAGGAAGACAAATAGTAAGTGAATCTAAAATTTCCTGTTTTATCAGTGGATACACGTGGTTTTCGTCTAAGAGACACTAAACCAGTCCAATTGTTTCAATTGGCCGAATACTGGGAAATAATTTGGACATCAAACGATATCAATTTGGCGTTATCAGGGAAAATTACGTTTTTAATATCATCCACTAATTAATGAAAATTATTTGTACTAAATTTCGGCTTGAAATTGGTATAGGTTTCAATCAATTTTATAAGGATTTCTTAGATATTTACGGAAGGTTCCGTTACAAACGACACCACAGGTCTAACTGGGAAATTAGTTTTGTGTAATTTAGAATCAATTAGTGGATAATATTAAAAACGTAATCCTTTCTGGTAACGAAAAATTAATATCGTTTGATGACAAAAATGTATTTCCCAGTATTTGGCCAATTGAAACAATTGGACTGGTTGAGTGTCTCTTAGACAAAAACCACGTGTATCCACTGATAAAACAGAAAATTTTAGATTTACTTACTATTTGTCTATCTTAAAATCATTTCCAGTTTGATGAAAAATTCTGTTCATGAAGTGAAGGACTAATAATGGGGAACCTTTTTGCGGGCTGAAATTTTCATTGATAACATAGAGTATGAATGAAATCTATAATAATCGGTTAACTAGCAGTTTCTTGTACTGGTACAGATACGTAGATGATATCTTAGTCTGTTTTACTGGCACATATAGGGAATTAGGCAAGTTCATTGAATATGTCAATTCCATCCACCCGTCAATAAAATTCACCACTGAGAGGAAGATGAATAATTCAATAAATTACCTTCACTTAACCATTACGAAAAATAACAATTAACATGAATTTTCAATTTTCCACAAAATATATTTCACGGACATTATCATACATAATTCCTCCACACACCCTAAACAGCATAAAGTTGCTGCATTCAATAGTATGCTTCACAAACTATTGAATATTACACTGTCCGAGAGTAATTTCCAGAGAAAGCTGAGTTTGATCAAACAAATCGCGGTTTACAACGGTTATAAGGTAGATATTATAGACTTCAACCATTCCAAAAAAATACAAAAGCAAGCTATGGACGTGGTCTACCCAAATTCAAGATGCGATAACTTCATTTATAGGACATTGTCATATTTGGGTGAACCAACCAATAATATTGCCCGTTTTTGGAAAAAAGAATGTGTAAACGAATAAAAGTTTAAGTAAATTTATTAAAAACAATAAAGACAAAACTTCGGTGTTGGATAGATCAGGAGTATATCAGCTGACTTGTGACTCTTGCCCAAAACTGTATATTGGCCAAACAGGGAGAACATTTTTCCAAAGAATTAAAGAGCATATAAGTAGTTTTGTAAATAGAAAGATCAATTCCACATTTGCAAACCAACCTCTAGCAGAAGGACATGAGTTCAATCATGATAGAATGTGTTAAATTTATTAGAGAAGAGTTGGAAACTCAACCTTCGAGAATGTTTAGAAATCAATAGACTCAGTAATTCGGGTAATTTTTTGAATGATCAATTGGAATTGAATAACTCCCTGTTACTAAATATTTTTTCAAATGTGGAAATTCGGACATGAGCTCAGGTAAATTAATTCATTACAAACTTAGGTAAAAATCAGTTACTTGAAATGTAGGTACTTCAAATTGTAAGGTACATTAACCATTAAATATGTAGAATATAGTTAGTAAAGACACGCCCGAAAAAGCTATTGTATGGCAAAACACGTGTTGCGTTTTTGTAAAATTGTTTAATGAAAATCTCATAATGATGTGTTCTTTGAATACGGGAGTTACTCAATATTTCCCAATTCAATCATTATTGATTTTTTTGGAGTTCTGTTGACTTTATGGTCCTGAATATTCATCTCAATTTTTCTAAGAGCATTTGAATTTTTGAAAATATAAGATGCAGGATTTGTCATCAAAAACTGAACAAAAACGTTTGATTTTGAAAGTGCGTATCCAGTTTCAAGAAAAGTTTGTGCATTGGAAATTTGAACCAGTCATGTCCGTTCCTTGAACTATGCCAGAGAAGGATTATTGACATTCTTTATCTGTGCCATTAAGTTGATCAACATTTAATAATGATATTAAACGAAATGGTTTGAGATATTAAACTGAAAAGGGATTGAATGTGTAGGGGTTATTCTGAATATCAAAACGACTCAGTTTCATTCCAGAACTATAATATGTGGAATTCTATCTGATACTTAATATGAATATTTGGATGTTTGTTACTATCCACAGGATTATCAGTTGGTGAAACTTGAGAGTTGTTCTGGTTTTAATCAATTTTAAAAGCAATGCATGAGGCCTACACAACTAGTTCATCCAGTTCTCATATATTTTTTTGAGGGACAAAAATAACAAACAATTACACATGAGATATAGTTATGAATACCTGTTATGGAATTCAAAGTTGACGATCTTCGTTTTTCATCACCAAAATTTAAATTCATAGGCGTAACATCTTGGCCGGCTTTCTCGGTAGAAAATTCCAGAATACCATGGCCTGAAAATATTAATTTACATTTGAGTAATTTGAAAGAAAAAAGAATGAAAATACATTGAAAATTCCTCAAACGTAATTTGAAACAAATAATTATATCATCAAATCTTTGTTGAAGCAGAGATTTCATTTCATGTTCTGAAAAATTGTACCAATTTTGAGCTGGGTGTGAATTTCTGTACTTTCACTCCTATTTTTTGGTTTAATTTGACGAGACGAAGTGGTATTAAAGAATTTGAATATTCTTAAATTTATAGACTTTGTTTTTGTAATGATACATCAGGCAATATCATATATACTGAACATTACATGCCACTCATGAAGAATAACTTTTCCAAAAGGCTTTTGTTAAAATTTGGTAAAAAATTCCATATCTTGAATAATATGTCGAGTTCTCTGGGTAACGAATGGTATAACGAATGGAATAGTGAAAATTAGTGAACAAACTTCCGATGATTACTTAATCGACACTGGTATTCCCCAGGGGAGCGTTCTCGGCCCCTTAATTTTCTTATTGATTACATAAATGACGGAGAGGTCTATATGTTCGCAGACGATACATCTATAACTTACAGTATCCAGCCCAGATACAAATGAGCTACTCAGAAAAACAAATAACGTTATTCTCCAATTTGATAATTGGTGTAAAAAGAACCGTTTGATCTTAAATTATTCCAAAACCATTGCAGTTCAATTCTAGAGATCCAAAACAGGAAAACTTTCCACAGAACAACTAAACATTGATAATCAGACAATAATATTTCAAGAAAGTTGCAAATTTCTAGGTACAATTGTTGATAGCAATCTCAGATGGCAGGAATGCATCACTATGATCTGCTCCAAATTGAATAAACACTACTTCGCAATAAAAAATCTGATGAGTTGCCTTGATGCGGAGGGTATAATTTATATGTACTATGCATTGGTTTACTCGAATATAAGTTATAATATTGTTGCTTATGGTTTGGCCATCGATAGTACCAGAGTCTTTTTGGCACAAAAACGGATAATTCCCGTGATGTTCCATTTGGATTATCGAGAATCCTGCAAAAATATCTTCAAAGAGAAAAAACTTCTAAATTTCATGAGTATTTATTTATACAAACTTCTGATTCACACCTACATTCACAAAAACAGCCTCATGGAAAATTCAAAATTTCACAACTACTAAACTCACAAAAAACGAATTTAGACTAGAACTAGCCACATACAACAACTACAAAAAATCCCCAAAATATACAGGCGCGAATTTCTACAATTTATTACACCATGAATTGAAAAACCACTCGAACCTGTTCAGATTCAAGTCTAAACTGAAATCTTTTCCGCTCCTGAATGCATTCTATAATATAAAGGAATTCACGATGTGGTGTCAGAGTCCTATCGACGATTTTAATTCTATTGAATCGTTTTATACAAGTATTTTTATTTTCGAAAGCAGGAAAAAATCAAATAATTTCAAAATGAACTTTCAACAAAGATGCCTACAAGTTACTTCCAGATACAAACTGAGAGAAAAAAATCTTCCGTTAACAACTACATGTGAACATTGAATCACACTTTTTCCTCATTCAGTGTGTACTTTAAAAATTCGTTCTGTATGAAGTTATAGAAGTAGACATCCAGAACTTGTCTTTCCCAGAAACTCCTAAAAATATGCCTCCTACAATTTATAGAACACTAATAAGAAAAAATCTCCAATAAGTTGCGGATTTTTATGTGATACTGTATATTTGATATTTCCGAAAGAAAAGCTTTTTATGAAGGGTTGACAACAAAAAAAAAATAGAAAATTAATATTCCTTTCCCGTTCTTATGGAACGGGAAAGGAATATTAATTGGTTTACAGTGGGTTTTGTGTGAACTGCAATAGCAAATTCAATCCACTCGTTGTCAGCCAACCACTCTGAAAACATCGAAGGGCAGTCGATATTCGCAGAAAAATATAAAACAAAACTTATATTCACTCACCGGATTCAGACTCATCACTGTATTGAGATTCTTGCCTGCCATTCATGGAATTTCCTCGACTGGAAATGCCATTCGATCTGGCAGAAGGAACTCCCCTGAAATACCTGGTTTCTTTATCCTTCGGATAAAAAGATCTCCTTGGAACAACCCCGGCCTGATCATCCTGAAAAGATTCCAATCCAGGGATATATTTCCTTCATCTTATATTTGAATTCCATTGAAAATATGTTTTTATCTGTTAACTAAGAGATGCGATATGTTTTTAAAAGCTTTTATTTAACCTGACTTGTATGTATGTTAACAAATCTTGCAAGTTTGATTTGACCCACTTCCCGGTATATGATTGACCTGAAATTTTGCATGCTGGTCCAGAATCGATAACACTGCATGTTAATCATAAACGTGGCCTGATGCTGCTGCCAGGATCGGCTCCGTACGAGAGATCTCCTCAGCGGTAAATAGCAGGGACACGAAATTTTGTATACGCATTCGTTTATGATAGGCAGTTGGTAGGCCCACCATGAAATAGATGCCACATTCAGGGTTGGCTTCAATAAGAAAAATATATTTCTAGAAAAAAAAATTAAATCTGATATAAACAAGACTGAAGGGTTGCCTAAAGAGTTGGAAATCTTTCTGGGGGCCAAGGTGATGTTGCGATACAATGTTGATGTGTCTAAAGGTCTAGTGAATGGTGTCATCAGTCATATACTAGAAATTATATGACTCTGTTTCCGGAGAGCACAAATGTATGACACGGATATTCCATCAGTCCGTATCGACTTCGGCAAAGATGTGATCCACGTTATTCAACCGATATCTGTGTAATTTCCAGCTAAATTCAGCTATGGTACAGCTGAACATTTTTGCCAATTGTTTTTTATGCTGGGCTTGTACAGTTCACAAAATGCAGGGTAGTACGGTTGACCACGCTGTTGTATACTTGGGTTCAAAGTTGTTCGCTGCCGGCCAAGCGTACGTGGCTTTAAGAAGGGTCACATCAATAGAAGGCCTCCTGATAGAAGAATTAGACTGTTCGAAATTAACTGGGACTCGGCTATGTAATAATGACGCCATCAATGAAATGAATAGACTAAGAAATATAACAAGCTAATTATTCTATAAAGTATGTCGTAGGAGTAGGTACCTACCTACTTCTATATAATATAGTTTTTGCTAATAATAGTTTTCCCCGTTCCTTAATTTTTCCTGTTGAAGGACTCTCCGTTTTATAGATGGACTTTCGTATTAATCGATAATTATCGATTGAAACTAAAAAATATAAAATAAAATAATGATAAAACATTTTTGAAACAAGATTTTATTTAAGGGCTCTTAAAAGATCAAAATAAAATTTTAAATCACGTTAACCACATTCATTTATTTATGTGTGCAAAAAAGTTATTCAATGTTGAAGTTCCACATTTTAAGCATTTACGGCACATTTATTTAATTACAAACATTATGAATTGCCTAAAGTTTAGTAGGTGCCTACCTAATTTCAAAATTTCAATTATAAATTGAAATTATGGCGACAAGCTTTTATTATAATTTCAATTCTGTAAAGTCATAAATGAATGTGCTTAATGTGATTTTAAATTTTGTTTTGCCGTTTTTAGGGCACTCAAAAATAAAAGCTTGTTTTAAACGTTTTTTTATCATTATTTCATTTACAAATTCTATTGCATAGTAATGATTTTAATGTATGATAAAGTACCGTAAAATTCGCTAGTTTACAACATTTCCCTTCTTGGTCCCTTTTGTGGTCGATAGTGTTTACTTATAACCTATTTTCGTCAATTTTTTTTGTGCAGCTCAAGTTACTTTGTTTTCGATTTTTACCATTTAAGCGCATTTCTTTATTTATAACGTGCATATTTTACTGTGCTTAGATTAGTGCCTAAAGTTTTTCCGACACGAGTAGCTCCAAGAGACGTTGTTTCAACAAATAATTTTTGGTATATATGCGGAGAATATGTGTGTTGAAGAAATGTAAGAAAAGTATATCAGAGTTGGTGAAAAATACCTATTTTGAGTATTTTGAGATGGTCTTGGATAAACATGAGAAGTCTTCTACAGCTTTCGTCTCTGTGATGCAGAACTTTCACAGAAACAGAAGATCAGAAAATTATGTTGCGCTTATAGATGACCTTCTTTTACAATTCGAAAAATTGGGGTGCAAAATGAGCATAAAACTCAACTCAGATTTCCGGAAAGTTTAGGAGATTGAGCAAAGAGCAGGAAGAGCGTATACGTAAAGACTTACGCATTATGGAAGAGCTTTATCAGGATTTTTGGGATACTAATATGATGTCTGACTATTGTTGGTCTCTGATACGCCATTATCCTCAGTCTACACATCAGAGAAGAGCTTTGAGGCGAAGTTTTTCAGAACTCCATGATTTATTAAAATTCTTTTCTTACTAAATACATGTTTTTTCTGTTTTATATCTACATTGCTGAAACTCAGAAACTAGATCTGATATGAAAATTTTACTTATATATTTAAAATAAGGATATCATATGTAAGAACAGCTGAAATTTCATCGTCAATAGATGTACCTACTGTAAACTAGTGTTATTTACGAACATAGAATCATTGATGGCATTTCCTACCAAGAAACTATACGGAATTTCCAACTTTTTGAACTTTATGGGTTCATATAGTCAGCCAGTCAGTCGGATAGTAGTCCAAAGCAAGGTGTTCCAGATATGAATACGTTTTTGGTAGGAAAAAGTCGTGTATAAATATTGAACTTGATATCAAATGACAGATAATTGATAGCTCTTCACGGGTATAAAAATTGCAACACCAAAAATGTTATCTTAGGGGTGGAAATGAATAGAAACTAACATACTCAGCCAAGTGTGAGAACAAACACGAAGGTTTCATTAACATTTGAAAAAAATATAAAAATATCAGCTGAAAGTTCAGGATATAATTAATATCCAGTGGCGTACCTACAGCAAAGGTAAGTAAAAACTCAGAAACGACTTACTTCACAACAAAAAAATTATTTGAAATTTTAACCCACGTTAGTACATCAATTCACTCTAATTGAATATATACCAATGGAAAGAAAATGTCAGGTAATGGAGACGTCCTAACCCTGAAGGATATTTTCGATGAAATAATAGAAAGTAAAATAAAATGGAGAGTTCAATCGAAATCAGTGAAGTACGCATTTCTCTGAAAGTAGAAAACCTGAAGTCTAAAATCACCAAATTAGAAGCTGAAAATCGACAACTGAAAGGAAAAATAGAAAATCTGGAAAGAGACAACAGAAAAAATAATACGTTATTTGACGTCGGCGAAATACCTAGTCAAAAAAATTCATCATTTTTCTGTAAAGAAATCAAACGAGTATTGAACGTAGAAGTGAATGATATAGCTATAAATGATTCAAAGGTTGAACTTGTATCATATCAAACAAACAAAAATTATACTAGAAAATTCATGGAAACTTGGAAAATAACAGATATAAATTTGCATGAAAAATCAAAATATAACATGATATATAATTAGGGTTAAATCAGAATGATGGAGTTTAAAAAATATGTTCAAAATAAGTTTTTCCGTTAACCCCTACCCCTACGAATGACGGTCCTCGAAAGTCGTAGCTTGTGCGAGCTGAGGACTAACGAGGTCTTACCTCTTAACGTCTGATTCCTAACTCGTGATATACCTTCACTTTATTTCATCTCATCTATACATCTATATTTGGTCGGTCGGTAGCCAAGCGGTTCGGCGTGGGTGATTTGTTCACTCACTCGAATTGACTGACGTGTTGGTCGGTGGTTCAAGCCCTAGTCTGAACTATCGATTTTCACTTGCTATCGTCCAACCCGTGTTAGGAATCACACGTTAAAAGGTAAGACCTCGTTAATCTGCTACGCGATGTTTTGAACAAGATAATTGAATTTACAATAGGGTTGCCGAAAATCAAAAACACCACTAACATGCCCGACTAGGTCAGTGGTTTGCACAAAGTCGTGGGTGCAACTAATTAAAAGAAAAACAATGATTTTTAACTAAATGGGGAAGCGCCACCAATTTTTGTTGGCCAGTTAAAAATCGGAAAACTGCCCAGTTATTGGGGAAGCCCACTATTGAAATATTTAACTTCTCATAAAAGTAATAATTCTATTTGCAATGACTAAGGAAGTTTATTACAATAATAAAAAA